TCGACTTATTATCAAAGCATGGCAAAAGCTACTATCCTCTGAATATTCACATCAGTATGTCATTCCTTTGAAGACTTCGGACAAAAATATACCCACGTCACCTAGGTCGAATGGCACACCAGTTAAAATATCTGCTCGTGAAAGATCCAGGCAACCAGCAGACGCTGTAAATGCAATATACTCTCCTCAGATGAAAAGCTCCGTACATCTCACAAAGAGAAATTTCCCCGATTCTCCCTCAGAAAAACTCAACAAAGATGATTCACAAAAATCTGCTGTGCATCTAACACACCAAAACGACAACTATGTTTCAAATATTTCTAAACGTCTGAAGTGCGTAGACACAACATCAACAGTCGTTCAGGTCAAAAGTCCGAGTAACCTTGTGAATGGTAGTAAATGTATGGAATCACAACCTCAGAATACCGGGTTTAGAGAAAAGTTAGATACTTCAGTACCTCAAACAATTATTTCAACAGCATCTCGATCTCCTTCATCGAAGCTCCGAGTAGCGAATTCCATGCGTTTGACGAAAGTGAAATCAACTGCAGAACTGGTCCAAGCTGCAGGAGATTGTATTGATTCCGTAACTGCTGACCGCATTCTTACAAACAGAATCAGCAAAGAAGTCGACCCTCCTCGAGTATGTTCAATAATGCAACCCACAAAAGCACGTCTGGCTCGTGCAAACTCTGGTTCTCAGTCAAGTTCACGCTGTGTCTCTGCCAATAATAATGAAACTTCGCATTCTCCTAAATGTAACACAATTTTAGATTTAAAGTCGGAAATACCCTTGGAGTGTAGAGAAAGTCCTGCTGTATACGAAAAAGATCACAACCTAACTTCTGATTCGGTTAAAAGTGTTATACCTTTTGTAAACGTTTCATCTATCAATAATCAAAGTCCTATAAGCTATAATAGTGAAAATATATCCAATCGACTATTATTCAAAGATGTTGAGAACAACACTGCGTCAATCGCCCAGAAAGTTAGAAAGAAAAAGAAGCATAAACATCACAAGGATGACGCTGAAATATTAGGTCCTTCCAGATTTCATTCCAACCAACTAAAAAGCCATCGTAAAAACAAAACGGTTTTCCCCCCTGTGACTAATTTTATGAATGATTGGCCTGACCTACCGTGTTTGCCGGAAAACATTGACTGGCATAGCCTTGATCGCAGTTATGTAACTGTCTGTGATAACAGTTCTATGGAAATTTCAGAATATAACTCTCCCCAAAAGTGTACAGTAGGTGCAGAAACTGAATATGCTTGTATTTCTCCTACAAATTTACACTCAATCATCCTAGATGATCAATATTTACATATACTCCCTTGGGTTGATATGATTGGGTACAAGCGTCATTTCTTCCCTTCTTGTTCCGATCAGGAGTTGAGTGAACTAACTACAATGCCCGAGCCTTGGTGATACATGTGATCCCGTTGATAAATCTTTATTTATGGTGCCTTTCTATGAGATAAACTGACCTGTTCTACTTGCTTCTTTCAACGTGTGACTAATTTTGATGTATCCAAATTTCCTTTGGTTCAACAATGATGCAGATACCATGCAGCATTTATTTAACTCGTCAATAGTATGGTTTTCCGCTGTTCGGAACTGGATTACGTTCAGCTCGGTCTGGTATTTCGACAATAATTCAGTCACTTGTTTGTGTACCGAACATAACTACCCATCTAGTCTAAGTGGTTTTTGGTACTTTAAATTGGTGGACCACTTTTGCCCTGATTGCAAATACACACATATCGAAAGCCCGATCCGTGCTTTTTGAACGTTTTTACTCAGTGTGGGCTCGTAAATTTTGTACATATATTATTTGACTGTTTGCTTTATAAGATTTGAAGAAAAAAACAAATATAAAAAAATACTTAGACATTAAATCTTTTATTGTTATTTTGTCGTTGACTTTTCATTGCGCTGATATCGTCTTAGTCAGTCGCATATCTTTTAATTGTTTGTCTTTGCATCGAGGTCACAAAATAAGCACTTGGGTCTCCTTCTCCAGTCACTTGTTACTGTCTGGATGAAGTTTTTTTCACAGTTAGGGCACTGAAATGAAGAAATGTTATGACTTAGTTTTTTTTTAAATTATTTAAATCCTTCACTTATCTTGGAAGTCTGATCAGCCCTAATGGGTTGGTGTCTGACGAAGTCTCAGCACGGATTCGAAAAGCTCGCTTGGCTTTTGCCAACTTACGTCACCTTTGGCGGAGGCGAGATATCCGTCTATCAATAAAAGGAGGAGTATACTGCGCGGCAGTTCGTTTTGTTTTAATTTACGGCAGCGAAACATGGCCATTAAGAGTAGAAGGCACTCGTAAGCTACTAGTATTTGACCACATATGCCTCGGAAATATTGCTGGCGTCTGCTGGGATCACCGGGTAAGTAATAGTGAGGTTAGACGCAGGGTATTAGGAAATGATGGTAAATCAGTTGATGAGGTTATGAATCTTCATCGACTGAGATGGTTGGGCCACGTATTACGTATGCCCGAACACCGATTACCACGACGTGCAATGCTAACCGGTGTAGGGGATGGTTGGAAGAAAGTTAGGGGCGGCCAAACCAAAACGTGGCATCAGTGCCTGAAGTCACTAACTTCTAGTCTGAGCCATGTTGGTAGATGCAGACTACTTGGTTGGGGTCCGCGTGACTTTCGTAACCAATGGTTGGAGACTCTTGGTGACATGGCTCAGAATCGATCACAATGGCGTCGGTGTATACACTTTCTATCTTCCCTTAAACTAAGAGATTAAAATCACTTCATATCTTTCTTTCTATGAACTAATTCTTTCTTCCTATACTATATCCTTATTGCAATCTTTCTTTTATATTATTACCACCTTTGACCTAACCACTTCTATGAATCCGTTGTTCATCTTGCTGTGCTAATGAGGTATGGCAACCTGGACCGATGCACATATGTGCCTGGTCTTACGTTGTAGCTGACTGACTGACTCACGATTAAAACTAGTTCGCACTGCATCATCCGTACCATTATAAAGTGGTGCTGATATAGGAAGGATACCCTTATACGTCGATATTTTGTCGTTTGGTTTGCTATAACTAATAAACAATTCGGACTAATATCACCTGTCACTACTTTATTATCCATCTCACCAGTCATGTGTGCATTAATTGTATATCAGGAGGTAACCCGCTTTAGTGGTCAAATAATTCATAGTAGCTTTCGCCTCGATTTAATATGGTTTTATCCCTAAATGTAGTAGTCTGTCATCCCAATTTTATTCCCTTACAAAAGCTGGAACCAAATGTGCAATGTTAGCCGTTTCTCGATGCCTATTTCACTATATAGTAAAAATATATGCGAATCATACATCTACTTGTCGCCAAACGTTTCTGGTTTTTTCCGGAAACCCTATTAAGTGTTTTGTTTGGGTCACAATTTTAAATAATTCGATGACAGATGGTCTTGTGAACAAACTGCGCTAACCAGTAATTTATCTGTTAAGCCCAATGCTGAATTGGTGTATTTCCTCAGAAAGTCTTTATGCCAAAACTTAAGAATTTGTTGCTGTCTTTCTGTAAGTGTTACAAGGAAACCATCCTGGAGGTCAATTGTTCATTTCTCGAACTTTCCTTTTTGTCACACGTAAGAGGCAATACTAAGTGGTGGTTATTGATTTTTAATACATGCGGTTGAGAAGTTCGGTTGGGACGGGAAGGATCGTAGATGTTGTCACAACTTGAAGTTGTAGCGTTTGCACACCGTAATGGTGACTCGACCTTTTCTGAATCCTCGTTATTATAACTTCGAGAACCACGTTAGATCTGGAGGACAGTAATCCTATTCATTCATTTAGAATGACTTCGTAAGAACTAAACTTTTGAGGAACGTCTGTTCCGTTCGCACTGCAATTACTTGGTATTGAGGGGTTTCTTCGTGATATTTTTATCCTGACTTTCTCTTGTTGGGTATTATCCATCATATCAACCAGAATGCACTAAAGACAACGAAACTAAGGTCTGCAGTCAAAACCCGTGTGGCTCAACTGTCAGTTTTAGATTTATATGAGTTTTTAGTTCTGTGGTAGGATCCTAGACAAATTTACTGACGTTTTTCTTTCAAGCACAATGGTTTTTGATAGATATGCTGAGTCTGTCACAGGTCTTCGCACCCTATCGATGTACATTTGATTTTTTGACTTTTGAAAATGTGATCTATGTTCACTTATCCTGCCCAGCGTCAGTCATTCACTTTGTAATTTCTTCGTCCGTAAATTGGGACAGTGTGTACACAATATGTATGTCATGATATTGAATATGAGAACTCATTTTCTGAGACATCGTGTAGTAAAAATGTATCAGTCAAATTACTTCCGAAAAAAGTCCACCTATTAGTAAAAATGACACCGTTACAATTGTAATCTTACTATACTTACCTTCAAAGTAAGAACAGTTTGCTCATTGCCAGGTAAGTAACTAAATGGCAACCTTTCAATCACTTCCATATTCCATGACCTTATCAGTCTGTCCTAAAACATTGGTATTGATAATAGGATCTACTTTTGATGCTGTTAGAATCCACTTCCCATCTTTCGTCATATGTACGTCATTAATCCAATCTGCATGTCTCTGTTCAAAATATTCTATAAATAGTACATGGTAATACCTTGAGACACAGCTTGACTTCTTTTTTCTCAGTATCCCATAATATAACACACTTGTCGTGACCTCCAGTCGCCAGATAGATCCCTAAGTAATATTAGGAGTGAAACTTGGTCCTCACCATCATCGTCTATGTCACAGCTACTTATAGAACCAGTGTGACCATCAGCTAAAATCTGTGGTCCCTCTTTCCTGTAGTTTCCAGTCTCAATGTCGTATAGATGAACCGCTTTGTCCCATGATGTTGTTACCAGCAACTTTCCGTCTCTAGCGATGGCTGCCGATGATACAGCATTCCTATGATCACTAAGAATAATTTAATTTGTAAATTCCACAAATCAAACCGCAAGGTCAGTAATGTTTTGAGAGATCGCAAGTCTGTGCATTTTGCGGATCCATCTGTTGATGTTGTAACTACACAATTTTCATTCGGAGTAAACAGACAACGTGTTGGTGTATTTTCGTGAATATCTTAAAGCCAAATTAATTTTATCAGATATGAATGATTTCACCTGGAATCGAAAAAACTTTCTTTCGCCATCTTAAATCCCATAAGTTCATTTGGCAGCTGATATCAGTAACACATACCAAACAATTACCATTCTTGGTGATTGAATGATCAGTAACTGCACCTCCGTTCAGTAGGACAAACTGGGTTACGTAGTGAAAAATCTACTTTTACCTTGAGTTTTAAAGTTTCATAATCAAACAAACAGGTTTTAAAATCCATCCCGCTTGATATAATACTGTAGTACATTAATTAACATAAACATAATCTTACTTTAACCCATTACTGTCTATGTTTACACTGTTGAGTTGTGTAGCATGTTTTGATGTGATACCTATTTGTTCCCTCGTTTTGAGAGACCACACGCGCAGCGTTTGGTCGCAACTCACTGAGACGACATGTTCAAGTTGGTCGTTGTAACTTAAGCTTGTTACTGAATCCGTATGACCTTGGAAAACAATATCATTAGACTGGTTATAGGTGGTAGGATACAAAATGGTGATTACGTGTTCATTTTCCATTGTAAGAACACTGCATCCAATGACCGACGAAATTTAGAATGATCTAGGATAACAATGATTATGAATTCTTTGTGTCTATCAATATAATCTTGGTCTGATGTTATTAAACTTAGTGATTTTGTTTCACATGAGAATGCTACACACTTCATTTCTCTAATATTTCGGTCAGCTGTCAACCGCTATGGGTTTAGGAATAAATATTAGCTTGCGAAGGCTGAAATTTGTCTGAACACCTAATGGCCAAATTTTTTTGGTTTCTGATTTTTATTGCTTCGATATTATGAATGATGTGTTCTCATAAACTAAATTAGAATTAGTGCACATATTTTGTAGGTGACTTTTAATTCTGATGAACTTTGTTAGAAGACTTTGCCGATATCAATAACATTTTTGTGATTAAGGTTAACAGCCTAAACATTATGAACAAACTAGGGCCTAGTCTTCATTCTATCTAGTGTTCTCAACTTCAAGTTATTGTTGATTCAAAAGTTGTGCAGTAAAACGAATCAAGATTTACGATGTATTAAGATACATGATCGCTAGAAATTAATTTTTAAATTCACTCTTTGAAATGCATCGAAAAATTCCAGCATTGACTGAGGATTCTTCCGTCCTTATAATGGCAGAATAATCTGCCAGAATAGAATGGATTTTCGTTCGCAGTAAGATCTCAACAGATACTGAGAATAAAAATTATTTGTTTACTGTATAGGTATGCTTAAAGAAACCGAGATATAAGTTAAGTTTTCATGAGCATAGCTCAGGAATTTAAGGATCATGGATTTTGATTTTTTTGTGAAGCTGAGTTACTATTCCTCAAGTACTTTGAAAGTGCAACCTAAAATATAATACCTACGGAACCAATTAGATCTAAACCCGAAAGGATACTGGGAAAAGTGGCAAAGCTGATACTTCTGTTAAGTCTGATTGTTTATTAAAATCGTAGTGTTGTTTTGTGTTTGATGGTCTTGTGTGACTACATGATGAATAACGACAGGGATGTAAATGCATACAAAAAACAAAAGATCTGAAATATTTTAGCCTTTTCGACGTAGAATCGGACAATTTAATGTTAATAATATATCACTAGTTCTTAAAATAGCAAGAATAATTTAGTTCCCAGATGTTAAGAAGCTAATGTTGGCTACAGTAAGCCCAGTGGTTTGTAGAACTGTGAAAATCCGATTTTGACTTGATTGCATCAACAGCAGTTACTAATACTACATATCCTTTTAGCGAATTGCTATAAAGACTTGGAAACTACACAACCCGGCCCGAACTAACTGCAACACCGAATATATTCCTACTTGAGAATAGCTACAGGGCACTAAGTTGTTTATTACAAACCAATAATATTAACAATCTCCAATGCCTAATTATTTGTGTGAGATTGGCACATGCAATAGCATAAATGACCTTGCCTGTCGATTCTTCTTCCCATTTTCATTTAAATAAACCCTGATAAGACTTTGTTCTAGCTATACCAAAGAAACAATAAAGCATGGCTATCATACGAAGGTGAGGTAGACTAGGGAACCTTTGTATAGTGTAGAGCCGATGTAATGCTATTTAAATTAAATAGTTACACTGTTTTAGTCAACTACATAGTATATTAGAACTAAGTGTTCAGCTTGATTATAGTCAAGTTCTTACAATAGATGACTTGAGATTCTTACCACAGAAACGTGGTCCTAAAAATATAATTCTGTCGTACTTTGAAATATTGTTTTCGGACGTTAACGTGTGAAGAAAATAAAAAGTAGCTTATGATGAACCTACCCGTTCATCCTCGAAACAGATCAGATATTAGCTTCAATATATACATACAATACGTTGTACTTTTTTACAATGTCACAGACCACTTCAATAATATGTTAGATAAATTACTACGAATATACTTATTAAACACTTGTTATGATATCGTTTAAACATATGTTACAAATATTGCTTATTAGCAGCGTTTTGAAACCACAGACAATTATGAACAACTTGTTTAGCACCTTAGGTTTACAGACGCATGAAACTAGAGTTATAAAGAAACACAGTTGCTGCATTTAAGTACAGCTTTACGACACAGCTATAGAAAGCCAGATGATCACTTATACAATTCAGCCTTCGATGTATTTGCGTCCACAGTGAAGCTTTGCTATGATTTGAGTGAGGTTCAAAGCAGACTTTAAGGATTTCACAGAATTATCACACTGTCTTATCAACTCATTAATATGACTCGAAGATCAGATAACACACAGAAAGTCGCTTAAATTTATTCATATAAGCTTTTATCGATTGCTAGCAATCGATAACAACACATTTATACAAGCTTGAGACTAAGTTAGTTTGTTAGTCAAAACTATACTTGTTAGAACTTATTTTCGAACGCAACTCGATTAGTTAGTTGGAATCGCCGTCGTAGTAAATCCTCTGATGAGATGCTTACAAATTCTCAGGTCAATTAACTTCCAACGAAATTCAACTGCTCAACTAAGAACGTTGATACAACCAAATAATTAGTCAATTGTGAGGATTGTAGTAATTTCAACAGTTGAGATCATGGGTCAACTGTTGAAATTACTGCAATTTCCACAAAACCCCTTCGGATATTAATCAAAGATCGTTCTTATATTATGGTGTTGCTAACGTTAGAACCTGAATATTTAATCTGCGCGAACCTAACTCCATAGTGATAGGTACCAAGCTATGTAGTAAAAAAGTATCTGGCAAATCCAGTTTTATACTGCGGGAATAATATCAGTTAGTAATGTGTAAGCATTCTTGGCTAGTAGAACAATAAGCAAATTACGTCGCGAATCCTTTTAGTATTTGTTTTAACCTATCTGTAACCCTGGACCGATTGCCAAAAGACTGGAAGAACGCAATAGTAAGTTTTGCCTTCAAGGCATAAACCTGAGAGCTGTCGACCAGTAAGTCTAACCGTTATGCCTAATAATTCTTTAAGAAAGAATGTTTGGAAGGATTCGTTCAACTATCGCAACAACACCCTGATTCTTTCTAAAAAGCAACACGGCTTTAGGACATGTTATTTACACCTTACTAGCCCATTAATAGTTGTTAAAAGTTGGTGAGTTTTAAAGACCAAAAGTTACCTATAGATATGGTTTACGCTGAATTTAGAGAGGCTTTTGACAAAGTTCATCACAACCGGCTTTTATATAAGTTAAGGAATGTCGGGGTTGGAGGCAATTTATTAACATGGATAAAGGACTTCTTAGTTGGGCGTCAACAAAGCGTACAGGCGAACTCAAATTTGTTTAGCTGGAGAAGAGTGTTTAGTGGAGGGCCTTAATGTTCCGTTTTTGGGCCAGTGCTGTGACTTTTTTATGTAAATTATCATACTAGTTTCCTATCGCTGTCGGTTTTGTTATGTGCTGATGATGTCAAGATATGCAGAGCGATAATGTAAAAAGATGAAGGTTAAGAGCTTCAAAATGACCCGGAGAAATTATCGGATTGATTTAAATTTTGGTAGTTGTCGATAAATGCCCCCAAGTGCATTGTGGAACGTATCAGTCAACAAGGTATTGGGACATACACGATGAATAAAAGTGAGCTGCATGTTGTCTAGACATAGTGACTTAGGATTCATCGTTAGCCAATGCTTAAAAATTACTGTACACTAATGTGTCCTAGCCGACATAGGTTTTGAAATCCTATGGTCAATATGTATGCTGTACTTGTGCATCTTAAACTCGATTACTACATAAAAGCGAATACATCTACCTAAAAAGAAACACCAGGTAGTTGAAGCGGGTCCAAAGAATCACAATCAAGCCGACCGTATGATGTTCGACTGACTAAACTAAACCAAATTTTCTCTTAGAACATAGAATTCACGAGGACACTTTAAAAATGTTCACAAGATAAGAACAGATAACTTGTCCGCTGATTATCGACCTTCCTATCGGATCATCAACAAATGGAATCCATTAACCCAACACGTGATTGAAGCTCCATCTTTTTACGCCATCAAAAAATTTGGATAGATCTAGATATCACAGTTGTCATGACTAACACAGCTCGCTCAGACTCCTGTCCTATCCAAAATGAAACTAAATATTTTATAAGAATGTTGTGTGTCATCGGTACTAATCGTATTCGACTTTGCCTCCAGAATAATAGACCTGTCATCATACGGTGACCAAGTCTGTAATATCTCACGTGGAATTCACATCATTGTCGATGCTGTCTTGTCTTACTGTAACAATTAGTAGTATGGTGTTTCGCACTTCTGGAGTATATATTTTGGCTGGCAACAGAATATATTTAATATGAACGGGAGAACTTAACATAGAGCGATCACGTCTGCACAGCCAAGCGGTAACGACTCAGTGGCATCATCCATTGACGGAAGTCGCCGAACGCATGGGGGTTTGTGCACCACCCTAACAATCTAAGTTTTTCAGGAAGCTCTTAAATTTTGATTTTAGTTCAACCACACTATCTGGTAGCCTCCATTCTTGAAGTAAGGAAAGTGATGCCATCGTAATAATGAATGGTATGGGACGAGTTTCAATGATATTATCTTATCAAAACAATCTACTAGAAGAGATAATTTCAAGACCTTTCAGAAAGAAGTACATAAAGTAACGATACATCTGTGGATAATAATTCTTTGTACAGTATGGGTACACTAAGTATGTCATGTCGGTTTGTAAAGAGATGGAAAGCCACCCAACTCTGTTTTTTCGTCAGATATGCTTGTCAAGATGTATGTAAATGCAGAACATCGTGATCAGATGTCTTCAGAGTACTACAGTTAATGGTGACGAAGAAGCTACATCGTCAGCATGCTTTGTTCTGATTGACCATAATTATGTTTCTAGATAATAATATATTTGTAACTGTGATTGTTCTTCAGTTAGAAGTAAATAATTTTTTATGTGGCTATCAACTTGTTCTTACAGCGTTTCGGTAGGAAGACGTCTATGTGGTCCTGTTACTGTGTGTTTCTGAAACGTTAAATCTTCCCATTGAGGTTTAGG